TATAGGGTCGTATGGTCATATAGTATATAATCTCCACAAAACTCAACAAGCTGGCGCCCACAAATAGGCCTGTGGTGCCACCGATAGACACTGCAAAGGATACACATGCAACCACAATTGGCAGAGTTTCGGGCAGTTCCGTGTACAACTCACCAACCAGATCCAATTTGCCTCGCACCAGGTTGCGCTTGTAGCGCTCTGTGGGCAGCTCAATGAGCGCTACTTCAATTTTGGATACGGGATTCTGGTTGCCATATATGTTATCCTTGCTGTCGTACACGGTGGTAATGTCCACCTCAGTGCAGGAGGGCAGGCAATCGCAGACTAGTCCCTTACGGCCACGACGACGTGACCATTTGGCAATGATCACCGACAGATCCTCGTAGTTGCGATTCAGACACTCCAGGCCATCCATGTTGCACAGCTGCCAATCCGGCGAGTTGGGTGTCAAATGGCTGGAGCAATTGCATAACTCCATTTGCCTATCCTTGCGGCACTGCACCGTGCAGGCGCTATAGCTGTAATACCGATGCACATCGAGTATATTCTCATCCGGAAAGCGACAATTGCGCTGTTCGACGCTCGTCTGGCGGATCTGCTCATCGTTCTCAATATCACGCTTGGACACATAGCGTCTGATGGATGTTAACTAGAAAATGTTACAAAAAATAGCAAGCAGCGATACTTACACAAAGGATATGTAGGGACCCACGACAAAAAAGTCTGTTTTGGGTGTCACCAAAGTGGGCACCTCCTCAGTTCCTAATATAAAGACCTGTAGACAAATCCACTTAGTTCAATCAGTTATTAGGGAAGCTAAAATCCCTAAGTGTGAACTGCAGATATCTCAAACTTAAAAAAAATATTATGAAATATCGCCCTTCCATGCAATTCTCACTAATCAAAGTAACATTTAATCGTTCGGCTAACTACCCTTATCAAAATATAAAAAACTCTCTTACCGTTGCCTCTGTATGTAGTTCCATTTTCAAGGACCCTGGACCCGTATAACGGTTGGAGTACATATTGAGCTTTGGGCCCTTGAATTTGCTAAGAATAAGAAATATTGCAATTATTATAGATTTCATACAGTCAACCCTACAAACCCCGCCTGCATTGAATTGATGGCATAGCAAATGCCCAGTTCCGTTTCCAAACGTTGGAAATAAGTACAACAATCGAAGGGCGTGTTATTCCACTCACAGCTATGTATGGAGTCCGCACAGCTGCTCCTTACCAGCTGGGCATAGTATGAGAAATTGGAGTAGAAGCAGGCAGCTGTGGACTCCTCGCCGCTGCATTCGTGCACCGTGTGATATGACTCGCCGCGAAAGAAGGCAATCTCGCTGAGCACCTCCTCCAGTGTGAAGTCATGATCGGCGCCCCAGAGTCTAGTTGGCACTAGGAATTGTAAATATAGGATAAAGGGTATAGAAGCTACCTACTGTTCGGCTACTTCCTGTATGCGATCCATATTCTTCGATTCGCAAACTATAATGGCCGGAAAATTGGTATTCCAATCGCGATAGGAGCTCTCCACCACAAAGCTAATGGCATTGTTCTCAAAGGCCGCTAAATGAATTATGTAAATATACCCTAAACTATTGCCAAGTATTTATTATCTTACCCAGCGATGCTTTGATGAGAAGCCAGGAAGCATACCAAGAGGCCCCGAGGCAAACGACCCAAAATATGCGCTCCAGCCAGCTGGCATCTTCATCCACTATAAAACGTGCTCCATGCAACGTTGAATTCTTCAAATATTCCTCGACACTTTTTCGCAAGCGCATTCTGTGGCACTTCCCCTGAGCTCTGGTGAGCTACTAAATGTTACTTCCTCATGACCAAATCAATATATCATTAGTAACTATTTCCATCTCGATAAAGTTCCACTACAGCTGTTGACTTTCCCAGCAACCCAGACACGCATTTCCCAGCCAATAGACAACATTTATCTAAAGATCAACTTAATTACGCAGCGTACAGGCATTATTATCTCTTGCATTAGTTTTGTTTACCATAAGTCAACAATGGGCCTGGTCCGGGTTTTAGATAGTATTCCTGCCACATGATAAGCACGCGTCTGAGGTGCAAGCGCCTCGTTAATCCTTAAGACAATGTTTAACCAGACCCTAAAGTTAATCTTCACATGACAACAGCTGGTGCTGAATATTGTTTAAAATGCGCTTAGACTTGAAGTATCTTAAATTTGGTAAAACTTTGAATTGCTATTCAATTTATCCAAATATTGTAATTAGACAACCAAGCGTTTAGATTTTCCTTTTAGGGTATTTGTAATTCGCATAGATCATAAAAACCAACCCCGTCAGCGATGTTACTAGATATTTGTTTAATCTCATTAGGTCTTTGGCGCTTCATTGTTTTATTAAAATATACTACTACTTACTTTTGTTGACATCCTTAATGTACATTTAAAATATATATAAAGAAAATGTTTATTTATGTCACCGGCTGTTAAGCTAATGTATATTACCATCTTAATGATGAACCATTTGCGTCTGTGCATTTTGTTTGAACTAGAACAATTTTTTTCCTCAATGGATTAAAATACGTTTTTATTATGAATGAAACACCAGCTGCTGGCTCGTGAACTCATCTTCATACCCTTTATTAAGCTGTACTAACTAATTGACTTTAACTTTAGTATAGTCAATTATGATTAATGTAATATAGGGAAATAGCAGAGGCGGTGGAAAACTTAATTTATATATTTGTGGAGTGTATTTTCAAAACCTGGAGTTGCAAGTGCACGTGGAAGTGCAGTAGAGAATGGGGAATAGAAGAACATAAATAAAGAATTCCTGCAAGGGTATTTAAACTTCGGCGGCACAGAAACAGCTGCCTCTTCTGATACTAGGCTAGTCTAGAAGCTGGTAGCATATGAGTTAGTAATCTGTTCCCTCAAATCACGCTGATGCGCTTATCGGGGCAGAAGTTTATAACAGCTTTGCGACAGCTTGACATTTGTATATTTCGCCACGGGTCGAAGGTATAAAGCGTTGGGCCCACTGAAAGTGTGAGAAACAGTCGGTATCAAGATGGCAACGGCATTGGAGCTGAGCAGCACTGATCTACAGGGCGTGTGCCAGAGCTATCTACACCAGAATGAGATGAATGCCAAATTCGAGGTTGTCAGCTATCAGCTGCAGCCCACTTCAGAGACGCCCGCCGGCTTCTTGGGCAGTCACTTCTATCTGCAGGTGACCCTGAAACTGCAGGAGACAGGCGAGGTGAAGCAACTGCGCCTGTTCTGCAAATCTGCGCCGGAGGGCAATGCCTCGCGCATGGAATATCTCGAGAATTTTGGTGTCTTTCAAAAGGAGATTGCCGTCTATCAGCATGTGCTGCCCGAGGTGCAGGCAGCCTGCGCTCAGATAGCGCCCAAATGCTACTATGCGGACAAGAATCTGTTGGTCTTCGAGAATCTCATCGATCAGGGCTATCGCATGGGCGCAGCTCGTGATGGTCTGCTCAACTTTGAGCAGCTGCACTGCTGCCTCAAAACATTGGCCGCATTGCACGCGGGCTCCATTATAAGGGATCAAGGTAATAGTCAAAGACTTCACTTGGAGGAGAATGCATATCCCTCAAATGTGCCGCCGGAGCACTTGCGAATAGTTAACTTCAATCAGGCTTGTGAGGTCTTAAAAGAGTTCATCAAAACGCTGCCCAAGTATCACAGCCAGCTGGACTACATATTGGCCAACTTTACCAAGCGCATGTCGCGCATCTTTGAACTGGTCAAGACGTCGAAGACGCGTCTCAACACCCTTTTGCATGGTGATCTCTGGGCGAACAATGTGCTCTTCCAGTATGGCAAATATGGCGAGACGCCGCTTCAGTGCCGCTTTGTCGACTTTCAGCTGGCTAGATACGCTCCTCCAGCCATGGATCTGCTCACCGTGCTCACCATACCCACAACGAGCCAATTTCGAGCTGCCCATCTTGACGAGCTGCTGGCCGAATATTATCGCTTTATGACAGAGTTTCTGAAGCGCGCCGGCTTGAATATAGCCAACTTTATGACTGAGCCAGAGTATTACGATTCTGTGGAAGAGTATCGCATTGTCGGCCTCATCGAGAGCTGTCTGTTCTGTCATCTGGTTATACTGCCGCCCGCCAGCACCCAAGAGCTGACCGGCTCCGCTGATGGGTTCAGCGATTTCTTCAGTCGCAAACGCATCGAGATCTGCATGAAAGCCTTCAATTCTGATCAACTATACAGAGATCGCATGCTGGACATGCTACAGGACTTTGTCGATCATTATGTCTTACAATCATAGTAAATTATCGATAGTAAATAGTTTAAATAAAATACAACAAAATATATTCCAATACACACTAATATTGTATATGCATTCTGTATGTATTCTTTTTGATGTAAAATCGAAATAAACACAGCATGAGTATGAAGCTTTTATCCTTCTGTTGATATTGAAGGATAATTAGGATAGCCTCCTTTCATTTGTACTTTTCATAATCAATACCAGGTTAGGTGCTCTGATTGCTATACAAATTTTGTTGATGAAGCTAAATTTCAATATAACATTTTTTTACTTTTTAAAATACAATAAATATTATCCCATTGAATATCAAGTCGAATGTCGAATGTCTAAATTGATAAATATCGATTTTCTAGATTCAACTCGAAAACATAATTTTGCAAGCATAAAAATATCTATTTTGACATCTCAAAATTATTAAGAATTCAAGATCGATAAAAATCGAATTAATGGATTGATAGATATTGCTTCTCTGACTCGATACATATCGATTTGCATCGAAGTGCATAGATGTTTATAGGTAGGAAGGGATCACGGATCAGTTTAGTTGTCAATTGTCGATAGCGTATCGCCTAGTCGGCTATTGACTTTAAAGCTTGAAAACTTTAAAGCTGCCTTCCAACATATCATGGACTTTGTGGCTATGGTCGTAGCTGGCTCGAAGCGCACAATTCAGTTGGCAACCGGCCGCGTTTATATCAACAACTTGTTGCGGCTTGAATTACACGTGAAGAGAACTCAAAGCATAACGATTTTGTGCTTGACAGGATTACGCAGCAAAAATCGCAAGAAGCAGCAACAAGCAGAAGCGCGCAATTATTTAACTGCAAAATAATTAGTAAAAATAATATAAAAATGTGAGTTTCGCAGGTGAAATTGAGATTTAATGTGAAAGCTAAAATTAAAATTGCTGAATTTAACAATTTGCTAAGCATTGATTATTTCAATAAATATAGTGAGAAAAGCTTGCAAGCAATTAAACAACTTATCTAAAAGCTATTTCAGTTTTATACAAAATTACTCAGTCATGAGACATCTTTCAAACGCAAACCTTGCAAAATTCCCAGCCGCACATTTTCAACTGCCATTCACCAATTGAAGCACCGAAAAAGTTTGCCAATACTTGATAAAAATTTAAATTATTTGCGTTTGTTCGCCAAAGCGAAATAGTTGCAGGCAACTACACCAACAACAACAAAGGCGCAATGCAAATGGCCATAAACAATCTGACCTATCACAACAATTTCAACCGCAAAAAACTTTGACAAGCGCTAAACAAAAAGCCAAAACAATAAAAGTTGACAGTAGTTCATGGCGCATAATTCAGTTTAACGGTCACGTTTCATTAACAAACGCACAAAATGCTCAACAACGAAAAACTTATAAATATATCAAAATAATACTGCAATTTTTCGTGTGTAGAATGCAGCTTGACTAACAGATACTCTGTAAACAGGCATCAAGAACCTAAAAGCTAGCACTTAGATAATAAAATTGTGTATTGCGTAGATACAAAATTGTAGAAAATTCTATGACATCTTAAGTCAAACTTAAAACATGAAAGTAAGAATATATGCTACACGCCGAAGACTTAATACCCTTATAGACATTTTCCTTTAGCAATATATATTGGAAAACACAATATTTTGACAGCAAAAACTAATTTTTTGAGCGATTTTTGCGATCTTGCTAAGATTTGGCTCATATAAAAGCAGCAGAGTTAAACTATCAAATGGGAGGCTTAGTCGAAATATCTTGATTAGAACAAATAACTTTATTTTCTGCGGATTGATCTTATTGCACCTATGAGATATAGTAATCGGATGTCATAAGACATCCAAGACATAATTATAAGGGTATATAACCAGACATATGTACATATGTATGTATACATTACAAACACTGTCTGTAATACATACATGCCTAGCTCGAGTTTTACGTATGCAGGGTATACAAAGAAAGCATTTAATAAGCTGCCGATTGCAGTGAGGCTATCGACAGGTTTTAAGGGCATTACAAGAAGTGAATATTAATTTGGACTATAAATTGACGACATTTTGTCGATGAGGTAATTGATAATCGTAATTTTGGGCAACAACTCGTGATTCTATTTAATATGTGAAACTGTTTAAAAGTGAAAATTGACATAAATGACATATTATTAAGAGTTTATTGTATGGAATGGATATTTTGAATATCCCTTATACAACTCATTCATGAAGGCATGCAAATAAAATAAATTAATTTATTTTATACATATCAATTGGAAAAAAAATCAAAAGCATTATAAAATATAATCAGCCTAAGTTTTGAATGGGCATACATTTCTGTAAAAAATCTGATAAGAAATGAGAAAAATTATAACTTCACATGCGGAAGTGAGTTTTCCCGAGTTTTTCCATTTTACTTTCTGAATGAATGCTGGAATTAAGCTGCATACAACTTGATTTCCTAACGTATTGATTAGTTTTTGTTTCAAATTACCAAGTTCTTAAGTGCTTCATTCACAAAACTATTTGCCCATAATATCAACATGATGATGATGATGATGAGCATCATTATTAACGTGGCAGACATGAGAGTGGACCCCTCCGGCGTTGCATTATGCAACTCAACTTGGCAAACTCTGAGCGCCCCCGACAAAATATACGTTTTTTTTTTTTTCAGGTTTTCAAGCGTATTCATGTAAAATGCCTCAGACTGTCGCTGTGAGTGTGACTTGGAATCGCACTCAGACTTGGATTCGGACTCTACTTACATGCTGAAAAGTTGTTGTTGATATTTGATTAGGTCAAATGGAAACGAATTGGCGTTGTCCGCGTTGCAGTTTCGCTTCTCGTTCATTCCCGAAAATTTGGGTCACTTGGTTAATTGACAAAGATTGACGTATTGTTATTCTACGTGCCCACAAATTTGTTTACACTACACACAATGAGGAAATACAACTGGAAAATAACTGAAACTCAAAATGCAACTGCAGCCACTGAACCCACTTTGGCGATCTGACGAGAGTGAAAGGCCTCAAGGCCTTGAAATTTCAGCCGTGGCTTAAAGACGCCGCATTTTGGCTCATTATATACATTATTTTTTTGTGTTGGCAATTAATGAGCTCATAAAGTTTTAAAAAGAGTGTGAAATTTTGTACTCTTAACTTTTTAGCATTTACAAGGTTACATTGCAGTTAAAGTTAACAATTGCTTACACAAAGCGGAAGAAGTAACCGCAATTATTAAAACACTCAAAAGGGAGACACAAATGCTTATTCAGAAGACTTTTCAAATTACTCAACGGTGTAAAATATTTAGGGTATTCCCTCGTTTTCGTTTACTGATTGAATTGTTTATAAACTAATGGACAGCTCTGTGTTTCTGCTAAACTCGTAATAGTTAACAAATATTTTTTTATATTTCCTTAAAATTAAAAAAAAAATATGTCGAATTTTATTTTAAAGCTTCAATGATCCTGCTAATGTTGTCAGCTACTTTAAAGTCTGGTTAAGCTTCAATTCTTTTCAAATTTCCTTTCTTTTCTTTTCTTTTCATCTTCTTTTCGAAGTTGACATGTCAAAAGACTCTACGACCATTCTATAATAATTAGGGTATTCACAAGCTTAATTTTATATTTCTTTTATTTTTTTTTAAAGCTTGTATCCGCCTGCTAAGTTTATTCAATCACAAATGTAGCTGCCTAAATTAACATCTACTTTGAAATATAGATGTATGCACAAAATTTTAATTTAACAAAATATTAAATTGAATATAAAATATTCTATTTTCTTCAAGGAGGAAACAAACTTCGAACTTCTAGTCAAATTTGGTTGGTGATCAAAATAACATCAATTTTAAGGGAATATTATAATTTTGGATGGTACATTACATAAACTTAGCTTATTGAATTTTTAAAAAAGGCCCGGTTGGAATGCAGATTCCCCAGGCCTGATGATGCGCACGTAATTGATGAATTGGCGAATAAAGGGCACAGAAGGCACATGTGGAAAAATGCAGTATGCAGTCAGTTGCCGCAAGTGGCAATATCAAGTCCAAAACTTACATCATCATTGTGGCGCATCAAGCAGCCAGCCGCTGCACTGCTGCACTGCCGGTTATCCAATTAAAACCAAAGATCAGGGATAGTTTGGCTGCAACAAAAGTGGGCCGGCCGGGCCGTCTACAAATCCAAGTGGTGTGGCTTTTTGTTGTACGCACCAAAGCGGCACAGCACGCGACATCTAGGAAATGAGAGCCGTCTGTTGGTCACATGACGACAACTTTTAACCAGCCAGACCGATATATATATATATATATATATATATATGTATATAGATGCATATGTGTATATGTATGTACCCGAGTGACAACTGTTGCTGGACCAACTCAGCTGACTAGTTGTCCAGTGAAAAGCGGTCATTTGGGTTTTTAGGCGTGCTCCGGCCTGGCTATTGGCCCGAGGGTGCAGCTGGGGGAGGGGTACATATGCGTGACAGGCGGAAACTTGTAATATCATATGCACGCCACAATTATGTAATGATTCACGAGCAAGTGAAATACATTCGCCTCGCGATCTCGTTACGCATCCAACTTAATCGAGTGCCCAACTTTGCTCTGCTCCAATTCAGGTGCCCGCCGTATCGCTTGATCTGCCTAACGATCCTGCTAATTGCACTGGCTGCGGCACGTCCGCAGCACAATTTGCAGCACATTGCCGTACTGGAGAATGCCGCCTGGGAGCAAACGTTGCCGCAACAACTGCAGAATCCCTTCTACAAGACGCCACGCGTCCGGGAGGCCCTAGCCCGATCCAGCTGGTTTGGTCCCGGCGAGCAGGTGGTAAGTCTGACTCTTATACTTACCATAGCGCATATCGTATCTCTCCATTATATGCTCTTTCAGGTTCTTGAACGCCAGGCGGAAAAAATACCGCGCATGGAAATCTACAATGTGCTCTCACACGCAGGTCTCATACCACGTCGCAAATATTTCTAAACAACTTTCGATTTACGATTTGTTACATTTTACATAAAATATCAGAAAATATTAAAGCTATAGTCATTAATTTAAGAAAAAAAAGACAATGTTTTCATTTCTTGCAAAAATAACTAACGATCTAATTTTAAGCGATTTATTGCTTAACTCCTGGAACGTTTGCCGGCATCAAACCAAAACTAGTTTGATCAATTTTAACATTAATGGATTCCATAGAACATTATAAATTACAAATAACTGAAAAATAAATGCCGTATATTCGGCTATACATATTGTAAATCTATATTTGATATGCGGATATAGAGGATAACTGAATAATACAGAAGGAAACATGAACACGCATTCTTCACATTGCAGAGAAGACTTTCTGAAAACTCTAACATAATCCATCAAATCAAATATATCATAGCTTCCACATTTAAAAGAGATTTGCTTGTAAAAATAACTGCATTTAGTTTATATTTTATAGAACTGTTACGCATAAAAATAGGTCTCGTTTGTATACAAAAAAAATGTCACAAAATTAGTTACAACAACTAGTATATACGTAAGCACCTACAATAGCTGTATCATGTTAGGGATCGGTTGGTCTCTCTCTCTCTGTGCGCAGTATGCAATAATTCTACATTTAAAATTCCAACTGTACTTCGAGCTGTGCAATGCGTTGCAGTCGCGCATCCAACAGCAACTGGCTATCTTCCTGCTGGGTGCTCACTTCCTCCAGTGCTGTGTTGTGCGCCAGCAACTTTTTGCGCATCTCTTCTTTCTGCTGTTCCCCCTGCTGCGTCTGCTCGTGCTCCTCCGCGTCCTCTTCTGCCTCAACATCGCTGTCAGCGTGCAAAAGCCCATTGCCATTCAATTTGCCATTGCTGAGCGTCTCTTTCGCGGCTGCGTTATGTCTAACTGTGCTCTCGGCAGGCGTTAGCAGCGATTTGATGAATTCGCCGCAAATCAGGCTCATGGCAGGCATCGTATGGGCGGACAAGTTGACCAACTGAAATGAATTCGTGAGTACATTAATTGGCGTTGACCTTGTCAAAGTTCAAAATAGAAAATAAAAACCATGTTAGTTGGATTTAAATCCATTATTATTGTTGTTGCTACGATTACTTGTCAATTTATAAAAAAAAAAAAAGAATTTGTTTATTATTGGTGCCAGTACAGATTATGGTTCAAGTTCAGCGCTCAAAATTCATAATCTCATGCTCTAATACGACTTTATTCCGGGCTGTTGTTGTTTTTGGCATTGGCTTATGAGTTTGTCATTGCCGTCCGCTTGTCTGTCAAAGTGTCTGCGATCTGGTAACCTTGGCGCATGCGTCTTGTCCAATTATTGGGTTAATTATAAATTGTTGCATGTGCTCTTTTGCAGACGCATTACTCAGTTGCATTTTCTACTGAATTATTAATTAACAAATACTTAAGGCTTTATTAATTAACAAATACTTAAGGCTTAAATACGTAAGCAGGAAGCAGCGTCAAAATGAATCCGAACTGACAAATACTCAATTTACACTCGTAAATTGCAACTTGACGAAACCAACTTAAACTGGTTGAAGACTGACTCAAATAAAATAGCCAAAAATATGTACATAGCCTATGTATGTAATGCATGTATGTAACTATATAATGTAATTAAGGCAATAAGCGACAAGTGCTCGCATTATAATTATTACAATGGGTCAACCCACGCGGGACCCCCGGGGGAAATAGCACTCGCCGAGAGCTCAACCATAAAGTAGCCACAACAAATGCTCGTAACTATATATTTATTAAACAGCATAATGAGCTTCGAAAGAGCGAAGCACGCATAAACAAAACAAATTGAACAACAAAAGAGCCAAGTATTGAGTGATGTGAGAGCGAAACTGTGAGCGCAAGCTTCACTGGAGTGGGTGTGCTTGCACTGGCAATTGCAGTAAATGCAGCGCTCATGTATGTGTGGGAGTGCGATAAATGGAGCGTCGCAGAGAGAGAGAGAGAGAGAGGAGGAGCACGCGCACACAACAATAACAAACCGAACTTTATGAGCAAAGCTTCGTGTATTAGAATTATGAGAGCGCGACACGCACGAAGCTACTGCTTCTGCTGCTGGCGCCGCTGTAGCAACAGCGCGGCGTATAAATTGCATTGAGCGCCAACAGCCGTTCAACATTGTGCCGTTGTATTTTGCACAAACAACAACAGCAGCAGCAGCAGCAGCAGCGCAAAAGCCGGAGAGAGCGTGACTGAAGCAGCCAGGCAAACGGAAGCGCGTGCCGCAAAGTTTACGGAAATATAATAACACAAGAAAAAAGTTCACGGCACATAAACGACACTTGACCCGTCGCTGACAATAAACCGTTCAATTATTATTAAACAATTGAGGCAAAGCAACAAAAAAAAAAATAAAAGCCGAATAAAAAGTGCACTTAAGTGAAGTCCAAAAATACCGAAATGTGGCCCAACTTTGTTGCCGTCATTTCGCTGCTCTGCCTTGCATTGTTATGTGCCTGGGCGCAATCTGGACCCGTGCCAATTGTGAATGAGGTGAGTTTCGGGGCGTGCGGCGAAATATGGAGTGTGGGGACAAGGAAGTGCAAGAAGTTACGCGAGCTAAGGCATTCGCTTTATTATACAAAAACATTTTACTGTATTCCACGGGGGGTATTAACCCACAAGGGGTAGGCAATTTGTAAAAATTACGACAATGTTGATTGCCAGTGCAATTGTTAATTAAAAGATTACTTTCTAATTAACAAACAATAAAGCCGTGAACACGACTTGGGCGGCTGTTAATCAGCACGACTATTTATAGAGCTTAACTGTTTATATATGATCAGAATATTCCACTTATTTATATAATATGCGGAGTGACTTTCCTTATCAATATGTCTGTGCGAAGAACTCGAGGTGTTTTCAAAAATGCTCAAAATAACAAAGTGATTAATTCACAGCCCTTAATGATCTTTGAGCACAGCCCAAGTTAGCTGAAAAGTCAAAAAACCTTGCGAATCCAATCCCCAACTATCCAAACTAGACCTATACCAACCCGTTCAATTCTATGATTATATTGTTGCCATGCTGGTTGGGCAGAATTTTCCAGCCAAACTTTGAATAAGATCCAATTGAAAGGCATCCAGAAATAAACTGTTGTGCCTTACGACTTTAAGAGAATGGCGTTATTATTATGAATTGAAATTATTCAAATTGAGTTGAAAATAGCAACAAGAAAAGCCACTTGGCTTGCACAACAAAACTGAACAATCAGCAAATATGATAAAAAGCTGATCCCAGAAAAGCTAGATCCTTAGAATCTTAGAATCTCAATATTATTCCAAGAAAATCATTTAGGAAATATTCAATTATTATTGGAACTTAATAGAAAGACTTTCGGAAGCATGTTGATCGGCACACAAATTGTCTATAGATCATATTTTTATTTATTTAAAGCTTTTTTCTAACTTTCTCACATGAAAATCTCTGTATATATTCTCCTGCATCATCTAGCATCAACAGCTAATGCCCAAGGTGCCCCAATGGCATTGTTTGCGCTACTTTAAGCACGATGTGCTGATGATGAGGCGCTGTCGGCATTTGCGTGTTCCAACGGCGCCACGTCTTGGGGATGGACCCATACGCAAGAGAAAGAAATAGAAATTGTGGCGATCCGGCAATGAATTAAGCCAAAAAGAACAACAGCAACAGCAACAACAACAACTGCACACGACTGAGCAACAAGACGAATTACAATTACATATAGAATTTCAAGAGGATTTATAACGAGACCAAAGCCAGATCAAAAAATCAAAAACACAAATATATAAATTTGTATATTTAATCTAAACTTAAGACAGTCTAACCACTTGTACTTCATAGCACGTAAGGTTTCAATAAAAAGACAACAAAATATAATAAAAATAAATATGCCAAGAGAAACATATCAAACAAAATTAAAATAGATCGATTAATTGAAATATGCGGAAGTAAAACCAAAATAAAACAATATGAGACTGACGATCTGGAATCTGAGCTGGGCTGTTCCATTGAAAGTAATTAACGGAAATGAAACACAATCAGATTTTGGATGGGATACATCAATAGATAGAATCGACCTTGTTTTAAATACAGCCAATACTTTTTTAAAACAAGATTGATAAGAACGGAACAAGAGGAAATGGAACAAATTAGTTTTAAGTTGCCTGCAACTTTAGAACTTAACAATAGTAAAAAAAAATGCTAACTTGTTTCTAACTAGAAACAAGTGGAAATGGCACATATTGTCTCAAGTAATCCTAAATCCAGCTATACAAAGGCCGTACGAAAAGTAAAAGCGAACGATGGAATGAGACATTGTCGCAATTGACTTAATTTAACATTTTGTGTTATAAAACTATCTTTTATGACAATTTGTAAACAATTGAGAATACAAAAGCTAACCTATTATTCAATTTCAAAAAATTTTAAACGAAATTTCAATTTGATACAGTGGAAAATAATAACATACTTTTATAACGGATAGTTTTGTTTTAGCGAAACGCAATGTCAATTGTAAGCCCTGTCGCAGATATTTCAAATATGCTAGTACAATAAGCTAAAGGCAAAGGCTAGTCAACTTTTTATGCGCTCGATGATTTGCGTTGTCTTTGAAAACTTACCGCATTCACTGAACTATGTGCGCTGCGCCCCACAATCAGCGGACCATTGTTCTGGGCAATTTCTGCGATTTCACTGGACTTTTGTTTGGCCACAAAGCTGCCGAAGGTGGCGAATTGCATCAGCTGATCCGTCACTGGTGGCTGGGCAAAGGAAATCGGCGCAGGCGCATCATCCATTGTGCTGTGTCCCGGCGTGGCCAGATAGACAATCTCCTTGTCGTGGGTGAGCATGTGCAACGTCGACTGCGCCTGCCAGTCCACATTGATGGAGCTCTGCTTGGGCTGGCGACGCGGCAGCCAGACCAGGCCGTGCATCTTGGGCAAATTGCTGCGCTGATAGACGGGCAGCGGCACATTTGGCTGGAAGACGTGCACTAGATACAGGGAAAAAGGCCGTGGCATTAGTAAGGAATTCCCCAACCGGCAGCAGTTACTCACGTTCATCATTGCGTGTGATGGCAGCTATTAGATTGGTGAGCGGATCAAAGGCCAGTTGCTGCACGGACAGCTTGAGGCCCGCCTGGAGCCGCAGCGTCATTAGGTTCCAGATGAGCACGCGCGTCTCGGTACAGACAGCCACCAGGTGGGCCTGTGCGCCAGCGCCGAATTGCACATGCGATATTTGGGCGACACTCTGGAGCGGCGCCACCTTGGCCAGTTTCTTAACAGGCTGTGTTGACCAGCGTTTGCGCTTGGCTGACGTCGGTGCTGCCGCTTTCGTGGTTTCGTCCAGATGCAGCACGCTGAATAGCGGCAACAGCTCCTGCCGGACCAACTGTTCGTAGTTTTTCCGCCGGCCACTTAACCGTGTCAAGCGCTGTTTCGCCTTGAAGCGTTGACGAGGATGCAGTCGGTGCAAGCGCGTCTCAAGCGTGCGCAAACGCAGCTGCACTGCGATGGGATCGACCAGGCAGTTCTGCAGATAAGCCTTGAGTCGCTTCTGGCAGGCCTCGTGCACGGTGCACTCAATGCCAAAGCGACGCAGCAGCTGCAGCTTCTGATGCAGTCCCAGCTCTGACATTTGCATGATGTGCTTGTACACGGACTCCTTTGCAATTTCCTGGGGCTTCAGTTCGTCGCTGGACTTACCCTGACTGCTCGGCGCACTGGCCATCAGTTGGCGCGCCTGCTGCACCAGCGTCTGGTCGTCGCTGTCGAGCAGCGTTTGCAGCAGACTCCAAAGCTTTTGGCGCTGTTGCGTCACCTCCGTGCGTGTGCCATTCACTGGCATCTGGGCCAGACGCAGCTGTGCCTTGGCCACGACGCCATCGTAGCCAGCGGATGTGCTCAGCGCATGCAGCAGTCGCAGCGTACGTGCGTCGTACAACACCATCGTGCTGCCGTAGCCCGCAGCCAGCAGGGAGCCATCCTGAGAGAAGCATATGGAGCCAAGTGGCTGTCGCTTATAGCTCGCCTGCGCCGCACAGCTCCACATGCTGCCACGCTTGTATATGTTCTCCGAATCACCCAGCGTCCACAGCTTAAGCACATTATCCTTGCCAGCGCTCGCACAACGCAAATTGTCCACCTGAAACTGATTGGAGAAGATGATCGCCTGGAAACCGTGCTCATGTGGCAGCTCAATGTTTGTGTTTAGTTTGTAGCTGCAACGAGAGAAAACAAAAAGTGAGTTTTAAATAAAAAATGGCATAAATTATAACTAGATTTTATGGTCGTAGCTTTTCTGCTTAAATTACGATTAGTTTGCCTACCTTTGTAATCGCTCCTGATATTGCCAAAATTTGAGACGCAGCTCAGCAAAGTTGCGCTGATCGTTGTACACCTCGCCCGTGACCATCCAATCAATGTTGAACGCGGCGCATGTGACACACGTATTGTAAATGATACGCTGCGGCTCCTGGGAGTTCACATTGTTCTCCACCACACGCAGCTGCGACAAGGGCAAAAGAAAAATTAGCCAAAAACAAATTACAAGAGAAGCGAACATACATTATAAAGCAAACTCTTCGTATAGGCCGAATAGAACTGCAAGTTTCCAATGCGTCCATTGAGCACCAGCGTGTTTGTGCGCGGATTGAGGCACAGGCCGATCGGAAATAGGCTCTTGCCCGTCTTGTCGGGCAGCGCATAGGTGAAATGTTGTAGCGTTGACTTGAGCCTCACATCGCTGGGGCTCACAAATTGCAGGGCATTGTCATCGGTGCAGGCGAGCACATGCTCGTTCCCATCGCTGATCACAATGTGCCTTATAATGCTGGGCATGCGCGGCAGAAAGTGCCGTTCGTCCTGATTGGCCAGCGTCCATTTGACCAGCACCGCCTCATGGCCGGCGCTGTAAAAACTGACGCCCGTGGGCGTAAACGCAATGCTGGTCACGGCCGTACTATGCCAATGGTGTTCCGTGCAGAGCACACGCTCCTGATGGCCAAACTGACGCCAGATGATGACCCGGCCCGACTCGTCGCCAGTGGCGCCCATTTCTTCGCAGGGACTCAAACGCACACACGTTATGGGCGAAGTGTGTGTGTTCTTGAACCGCATAAACTTCCAGTTCACATAATTGAGAAAGTAAACATAGACGCCCTGTGACAGTATTATGTACTTGAAGGCGCCCTTGCTCACATCCACCAAAGGTGCGCGAACTCTGCAACAGGTTGACAAATATTAAAACAAGTGAGAAACCAGAATGCGGCACCCCGGAAATTAAAAAAATCTACGTTCTTATTTCTAACTGAATGTGTCTAAGGGAACCATTTGATGCTTGGTTAAGGATAAAATAAGAGTTTGCTTATGATATTAATGAAATCTCTAAAAACTGATCTTGGTTAAAATATCATTCGATGAGAGCTAAGAAACAAGCTGAACATGGTCAAAATATATGGCCATGATATTTAATTTGAATGACATACTAAGTGTTTAAGATAGTTTAAGAAATAAGCTATATGAGCGCAATTCTGGGCTACAATGACTCCAAAGAGCCTCAAAACAGTTTAAAAACCTAACACACAACTCAAACTCTTATAAAAATCTTGAAACAAAGGACTACTTACTTTAGTCGGAGTCCACAATTGATGTCGATGACAGTGCCTGTGCTTGTGTTGACCACGAACCAGCTGATCTGTTCCCCGCTCTTCCGCTTGACCGTGAAGAAGGCGCACGCGGTGTCGCCCTCCTTGTACAAGTTTAGCAGATTGCACGTGAGGATTTGCAGGCCTTCGGTGCCCAGCTGCAATTGAATGTTCTTTTGCAGCACGCCCGTGCGCCAATGCCAGCGCAGCAGCTGGCCTGTGCTGGTGCAGCCCAACAGCAGCTCCGGCTGCTGCACGTCCAGCTCCAAGCTGATTAATGGCGCCGTCGCATCGTTTAGCTCACGTGTCAATTCTCCTGTGCTGGTGACAAACACCTGCACCTTGAGGCCGCAGCGCACAAAGACGAATCTATGCAGATTTATGGGAAGTTTATTTTATGCCTTAATATGACTTTATTTCAGTTTAAAACTAACCTTCCCTGTGCAGAGAAAACGGGCGCATGTTTTACAATGTTGCCGCCCGCCAAATGCTGCAGCTCGAGTCCGTCTTCATCGTCGAAATTCATGGCTGTACCAATTCTGCAGCCTTGTGGAGCAGCTTTAACTGCTTGTACACTTTAAATCTACAAATGTTTAGCAATAACAACTTATTTTCTGCAAGTACTTTCATACAAAATCACAAACCGCACGTGTAGCTGATTTTTACAGTGTTGCTAAACGCGATGGCAGCAGTGTTCATAAACAGCAGCTTGCATCGGAATGTGCTGCGGCCAACTTAGCTTGATAATAGCAATTAAGCGGGAAGGCGGAGTGATTTAAATGTAATCGAATTTGTTTAAATTGATTGGGTAATACAGGCATAAAAATTTTGAAATGAAACCCTTAAATATAAGTTGGGGTAAGCTACAGCAAATTTACATTTATTATTAGCCGCTTAATAGTATTCAACTAAGCTGATATATATAAGGAATAACCAACTTTCTTATGTCTTAGGCCAATTCTTAGCAAAATAGAACTGTTCACGCAGTTTAAGGCCAAAAGGTAAACAATTTAATATATATTAGTTTTTCTTTATTTTGTATTAATATAATTGCTGTACCATCCTAACATAATTCAAATATGCCGCGCAACAGCTAGTGATACAAAATGCCCTGTAGTGCTGTGTAAGCTCTCGATAAGTGATAAGTTTTGGTATTTTGCCGCTAACGCATTGCAGCCCACATTAGAATAAAATATTGTTCAATAAATGGATAAACTAATGGTCAGCAGAAAGTAGGCGGCACATATCAAACCGCTGCCACGTGTCCGGCTAAAATTCGAGCTGGCAAACTAAAAACGCAATGAAGTGTAAACTCGAAGTCGCGACAACAACAACAACTGGAAACAACATGTGCAACGTTGCAGGCAAACGCAATGTAAACAACTTGCGGGCAAGTTGTACAATTCGGTTAATGCTGCCGCTCCTGGTGTTGTCCTGCCTGCTGCATGTGGCTCTGTCGGAGCCGCTGAAAGTGATCTACGCTGTAAATGCGGGCGGCGATGACCATACAGACCAGAACGGCATACACTATGAGGCGGATCCGTTGAACGTGGGCATTTCCTCGGACTATGGCAAGCATTTGCTGATGATTGGCCGCGTGCCGGAGCAGGACGAGGTGCTCTACCGCACCGAACGCTATCACACAACCACCTTTGGCTACGATTTTCCCGCCGATGGCGACGGCGACTATGCGCTTATCATGAAGTTCTGCGAGGTCTACTTCGATGCGCCCAATCGCAAGGTATTCGATGTGCTGCTTAATCGCAAGCACACGGTGGTCAAGCAGCTGGACATCTATAATCAAGTGGGACGCGGCTCGGCCCACGATGAGATTATCTACTTCAAGATCATCAACGGACGACTGCACTACGAGTACGAGGGTGAAATTGAGACATCGGATGTGCGCAATGGTCGTTTGCGTCTGGACTTTATCAAGGGCGCACTGGACAATCCGAAGATCAATGCATTCGCCCTGCTCAAGGGCGATGTCTCCCAGCTGCCGCGCCTGCACAATACCGTGGCCAGCGAGCGGCGTGCCGAGCCCGAAGAGGAGGACAAGCCGCGTGTGCCGCGTCCACGTGATAATGAACAGCATCAGGAGCGCATTGTGCGCTACAATGAGCGACAGGTGCAAAGAGGCTACGAGGATGATGAGGATGAAGATGAATACGATTTAGAGGAGGGTGAGCCGCAGCCCGAAATGCCGCAACGTCACCAGCACCAACAACAACAACAACAACAACAGCAGCAGCCGCAACAGCAGCAGCAGCAGCAGCAACAACAACAACAACAGTCGACGCAGAGCTCCAAGCGAACGCGCAGTGGACCACGTCAGCCAAATCCCTATTCGATGGATGACTCCTCCATTTTAATGCCAGTTTTCATAGCCATTGGGGCGTTCATACCGCTGCTATTTTGCCTGTGCAAGCTGTGATCCCCATGGGATCTATTGGGCTGCCCCCGTGGGAGCGTTCGTGTTGATTTTTGTGATTTTTATAAAAGACTTAATTATATAATTATCGTTTAGCTGTAGCGACAAACTGTAAACGTTTATTTCTTTTTTCTTTTGACCTTTTGTTTTTGCCCACACACAAAAACGCACAAATCTCTCTACTATTATATATATACGTATATATATATATATATATATATATATATATATATATTTGGCATATAGTCTAATGTGTTCCTTTTTATGGATAGCCGACCGCCCTGCCCGCCCGCCCTGCCTCGTTTACTTAAGCTGACAACGCACTGAAAAAACTCTTGTTTCTTTTTTTTTATAGTTTTGCTTTAAATGAAAATATGTAATCTATTTTTTAGGGCATTTGCTCCAAACGAATTCAATGAAAATAAACCTTGTTTGTTATTAACAAATCGTTTTATAATATATATAATGGATTCTATGAACTGTATCGAATAACTGTGAAGATTATACAGAATAATTTCATTTAAGTAATTAGTTTATTTATTCATTAAGGTCAAATATTTAGAATTGTGTTTAAGGCCCAACGGAGAAAGGATACTTATAAGATGACAACATATTCAATGCAAGCCTTTTCCACGTTAGTTTATTAAACTTTTGAAGCCTCGGCAGCATATCCTAAACTTGATCGAATAACATAGATCTTATCTTAAAATCGAATTCCTTTTTGATAGAGGTAATATCTTACCTGTCCCACACTCTCCCTTTGAGAAATCTATTATATTTCCATGATTATATATTTACTTTCTATATTTATTGTTATTATTTGATAGATTCCAATAATTAGCAGTATTTCTCTCTACAAAAGTGTTACGAGCTCAAAAGTTCAATTGTGTGTTCCATTTAGTTCAATTATGTTCATTTAATGCCGCAAATGAATTGATTTTCTTAGCCGATAATTGAAACTAAAAATAGAAAGCTAAATACATGGGAACCTCGTATCTACTGTATACAAAAATTACGCAAGTTAGGGTTAAAGATCGTGTGGGGCCAAAGTACAAGCTGAAAAGTAAATGTAAACAAATCGTAAATGTTGCGGCTAAGCTTAGATTAGGTATTTTCTTCCATGTTTAATCTGCATGTCAAATATTTAGCAACCTGCTTGTTTTCTCGATACTCTACAAATGTTGCATGCAAAATGCGAATCATAATGCATGTTGCTGAGGTTCAAGTTCACTGCAGCTGATAGCAAAACAAAAGCGCAAGTACGCGGCCAAGCTATAGACGGCTACGTGTTTCGCCCAGACCGGTAACATTTATAATTTGTATGCAGGTGGAGTATATTATGATGACATATTGAGAGAAACGCATTCAACGCAATATTTTCAATAAAACTAATTGATGTAGAACTTTATTTGATAGATACGCTGGGTCATAGAGTTTAATGGAATAAAGGACAGAAACCAATTGGCTGCTCATATGTACAGGCTACATAAAATGGTATGTGGTAAAAAAAAATGCTACTAAACGACTAACAATAAGATATACAAACATACACGCACACTCACTCGCACATACGAATTGCACTTAGACAAAGCTTTGCTACGTATACAAAACAATATAAAATGCGTTTCTAAAAAAAAAAAATGCACAAATCAACTATATACTAGATACATATATGTATACAAAAGTGCTAAGCTTTGGATGTGTGCACAAGCCCGAAAATGGGGAATGGTTGGTGAAGACGCTTACAAATTAATTAACAGCATTAGGGTGTAAAGTCACCAAAGAAAAAGAACCCTAAAGAGAGCGGTAATTACAGTCCATTAAAATCGTATCTCGTTGCGCTGCACTTTTTCGTAGGCGCTGGGCGTGAGCGGCTCGTAGCGTCCCTTGGATGTTTGATAGTAGAGCGCATCCTTGACCACATTTGGATCATAGCCCTCCTTCTGCAGATCCACCTTGCGCAGCTTGAAGGTGCCCGTCAAATCCACTTTGGTGAGCAGTCGCAGTATTTGTGGGCGCGCATAGGCGGGCAGCACCTTGGCTAGATTCGCGGCAAATACATCCAAATCGAGTTCACCCTGCGGATCGTATATGGCAGCCATGCCGGCGCGTCCTTCGGTATGCGGTATGGTTACGCCATACACCACGGTGTCCTTGTAGCCAGCTACATTGCTGACCTGAGCCTCGACCTCGCTGGTAGATACGTTTTCGCCCTTCCAACGGAATGTGTCACCCGTGCGATCCTTAAAGTACAAATAGCCCTTCTCATCAGCGACCAGCAGATCGCCGGAGAGAAATGCCATATCGCCATGCTTGAACACATCCTTGACAATCTTCTTGGCCGATGCCTTGGCGTCCACATAGCCCAGAAATTCTCGCGACGGATTGCCCTTGACAATCTTACCTATGAAGACGCCCGGTTCGTTGGGCTCACAGAGCTCGCAAAGGCCATCCTTGTTACGTATGGGCTCGCCAGTATCCGGATCGGCGCGTATTATCGATATAGGATATACCTGGGGCAATATGCGCGAGACAAAGCCAATGGCACCCACAGTATTGTCGTGATTCATAATGTTCGCATTGCCTTCGGTAGCCCCATAAAATTCACCCACTTTGGCTATATTGAAACGCTCCACAAACTGCGGCCAAATCTGTGGACGCAAACCGTTGCCAAAGACCAAACGCACGCGATGCGCACGATCGTAATCCGATGGCTTTGTGGCCAGGATATACCGCGCCATTTCGCCAATATATTGACCAACCTGTGCGGGCAGAGATGCTTAGATTGATGGATAGAAAAGGAACTAAGAATCACTTACAGTAGCATTGAACTTGGCGCAATCGGCAAAATAGTTGGAAGCCGAGAACTTCTTGCGTATGGACACCGTGGAGCCAAAGATCACCGACTGACCCATGCACATGATGCCACCAGCGGTGTGATAGAGCGGCAAAGGCGTATAAAACACGTCGTCGTTCTTGAAGCCCATTGTGTAGTGGATGCCGGCGGCAATGAACAAATAACTGGCAGCAGAAAATGGGTTTTTAGTCTAGTTTCTATCTGTATAAAGTGTGAAAAGAAACATTATTGTGTGACTTACCGTGAGTGGGAGATGACAGCCGCCTTGGGCAGACCCGTGGTGCCCGATGTATAGATGTAGACCAGTTTGTCATGATGATCCACCTGAGCCTTGCCGGGTTTCTGAGTGCTGGCCGCGGAGAGCAGCGTATTCAGATTCTTGGCCTGTTTGACCGCCTCCGATTGTGTGTTGTTATTCTCGTTATTGAATTGAAACAGTGTCAGATCGTTGGGCAGCTCTTTGGTTATGTCGGACATGGCCTCAACGAAATCCTCGCCGTAGATGAGCGCATGGCAATGCGCCACTGTGATGCTGTGCAGCAGCGAGGGTCCGCGCAGATTCGTGTTGATCAGCGGCGTGATGATGCCAATTTTGGATAGACCCAGCCAGGTGGCCACATACTCGGCACGGTTCTCCATCAGCAGACCGACAACGTCGCCCTTTCGATAGCCCTGCGCCTGCAGCACATTGGCCACGCGATTCGCATGCTCGTTCACCTGACGGAATGTCCATTTCTGTGTCTCGCTAATCACAGCTATCTTCTCCGGATGAGCAGTCACATTTTCCTCGAACACATCGGCCACGGTATGGTTGAGGCGTTCGTGACGTTTCGTGTATCGCAGCAGCTTTCCATAGGCCCACAGAGCACTGCAAGCCGTAGAGGCAGGAGAATATTGTTATAAAGTAACAAGCACGATTAGCGATATGCCGCACAATTGCACAGTATACAGGTGTGTCTGCATTATCAATCGATCTGCCGGAGTTGCGTGTTTTATGGGCCGATTGTGAAAACAAACCAAAATAGCTCAAGCGTTGGACAAGCGCAAACCATAACCCAGATAAAGCCTAAAGTACATATGTATAATCATGGCAAACTGTCGGAGGGGCAACGAGGGGGCCAACTGCAATTAAATGTGCCTGGGAAAACAGCTTGAAGTGATTCGAAATGGCAATAAAACGAAAATTATGTGAACTTAAGAGCGAAAGTAAATGAAATGTTTCATTCGGTTGGATTTCTCAAATTGAAAACTGAGTACAAGTCTAATATATGTAAGTGATATATATAATATATTTAATATTTATACTTAAAACATATTCATTTCAAATGGAATATATCCCATCAATGTATGCTTCACTCTGAATATTCCACTTATGCAGAGAAATACCCAAAGTTAATTGAAGTAAAAAGCATTTTAGAAAATGGATTTATACTTGAAAACAAGACTTTGCCTTCCATACTTTGGAAAACACAACGTAAACCAGTTAAGAATAAACTGTTAGGCTAAACAACTATATGGAATGCATTAAACATAAGGTATAAAAGCTTCGCCAATTACAGCTGAGGCTAGAGTGCTTAGTAATTTTAACATATAAATGTAAATCAAATGAGCTCAGGCCAAAGGTTAAATCGATGTGAGTAAATAAAAATAAACGAGAAAGTTGGGTATATATTCGGCACGCCGACGACTAGATGCCCTTGTGGACATTACCCTCGGCCAGATATGTGAGAATTGTGCAGCTCGTTAGAATATAGCTACTTTACGACCGACCGCTCCTTTTCAGCTATATGATATAGTATATCGATGCTGATAAGCATTGGCATAGCTTTATGATGGAGAGAACTGTACAAAGTTTCAAGTTTGTTCGCATAGAAACAGAACAGACGGAAAGGCCAGGTGGACCTGGCTCTATCGACTCAAAGCTGCTCGAGAATATATATGTATATATACTTTAAAGGGTCGGAGTCAGCTCCCTCTATGTGTTACACAGTGCATAACGAACTTATAATACATGCTATGAGGGTATAAAAAAAAGCCAAATGGCTTAAGGAAAGTTTGTATACACTTCTATATGGAGCATAACGGCAAGTTAATTCAGTTAATAATCGTAATTTACGGCTGGCTAATAAAGCAACCCAATCTATCGAATCTATGGAATTTTTAAGCTGCACTCGATTTGCCCAACACTCGAGAGTGCTTTGCACTTGATAGAAAGTGTAGCATAGCTGATAAGATTGTGCGCCTAAGTAGTTGGGGATT